AGTGTGAGCCACCACACTTGGATAATTTTTGTACTTTTGTAGAGATGGGGTTTGCCATGTTGCCCAGGCTGGTCTTGAACTCCTGGGCTCAAGAAATCCACCTGCCTCGGCCTCCCAAAGTGCTGGGATTACAGGCATAAGCCACCATGCCTGGCCTATGACCTCCCTTCTTGTACAACTCTGAAGGAAAATAACTTTTAATAAGTATTTACTGAAGACTCACTTTGTTGCAGAAACTAGTGTAGGCACTGTAGGGATACGAAGGTGAGTAAATAAGACACCGAAGCCATAATGTTGGAAAAAAGGCTGGCAAATGTTCATTTGGGCCGAGATTCAAAGCAATGTCTTTTGAGTTTTTTGTTGTTTGTTTGTTTTTTTGAAACAAAGTCTTGCTCTGTCGCCCAGGCTAGAGTGCAGTGGCACAATCTCAGCTCACGGCAACCTCCGCCTCCCAGGTTCAAGCGATTCTCCTGCCTCAGCTCCCTGAGTAGCTGAGATTACAGCTGCGCGCCACCATGCCCGGCTAATTTTTGTATTTTTAGGAGAGACGGGGTTTCACCATGTTGGCCAGGCTGGTCTCAAACTCCTGACCTCATGATCTTCCTGCCTCGGCCTCCCAAAGTGCTAGGATTACAAGCATGAGCCACCACGCCCAGCCAGCAATGTCTTTTGTTCTAATTAACATTTATTTATTTACTTTACACTGTCTGTTGATTACAGAAGTTGTTTTAGTATATGGAAATTAAGAGAAAGAAAACATCCAAGGAAAAGTTCATGAACATTTACCCTTATAAACTTCCATAGACTGAGCTTGCAGAGCTACCAATAAGTCAATTCTGATAGCTACCAATAATGTCAATTACTTAGTAATTTTAGTTTTGGTTGTTCATTTGGAGGTGTTCAGTTAACTCCATTATTCCATAAGCCAAAGTCATGGAAGTACGAGTGTATTAGAGGAAGATAGTATGATTATGATAAAAATCTAAAATAAGGTTTTAAAAATATTTAACTTTCTTTTTAACTTTTATTTTAAGTTCAGAGGTACATGTGTACGTTTGTTATATAGGTAAACTTGTGTTGCAGGGATTTGTTGTACAGATTATTTCTTTACCGAAGTACTGAGCCAAGTACCCATTAGTTATTTTTCCTGATCCTCTCCCACCTCCCACCCTCCACATTCAGGTAGGCCCCAGTGTCTGTTGTTCCTCTCTGTGTGTCCATGTGTTCTCATCACTTAGCTACCACTTGTAAGTGAGAACCTGTGGTATTTGGTTTTCTGTTCCTGCATTAGTTTGCTAAGGATAATGGCCTCCAGCTCCATCCATGTTCCTGCAAAGGACATGATCTTGTTCTTTTGTATGGCTGCATAATATTCCATGGTGTATGTGTACCACATTTTCCTTATCCAGTCTACCATTTATAGGCATTTAGGTTGATTCCATGTCTTTGCTATTGTGAATAGTGTTGCAATGAACATACGCATGCATGTGTCTTTATGACAGAAGGATTTATAGTCCTTTGGGTACGTACCCAATAATGGGAATTCTGGGTCGAATGGCATTTCTGTTTTTAGGTCTTTGAGGAATCACCACACTGTTTCCTACAATGGTTAAACTAATTTATATTTCCACCAATAGTGTATAAGTGTTCCTTTTTCTTTATAACCTCTCCAGCATCTGTTATTTTTTGACTTTTTGATAGTAGCCATTCTGACTCATGCAAGATGGTATCTCATTGAAGTTTCGATTTGCATTTCTCTAATGATCAGTGATGTTGAGTTTTTTCATATGCTTGTTTGGCTGCATGTATGCCTTCTTTTGAAAAGTGTCTGTTCATGTACTTTGTCCGCTTTTTAATGAGGTTTTTTTTTTTTTCTTGTAAATTGTTTGAAATTCCTCATAGATGCTGGATATTAGACCTTTGTCAGATGCATAGTTTGCAAAATTTTTCTTCCATTCTGTAGGTTATCTGTTTACTCTGTTGATAGTTTATTTTGCTATGCAGAAGCACTTCAGTTTAATTAGATCCTATTTGTCAATTTTTGCTTTTGTTGCAATTGTTTTGGCATCTTCATCATGAAATCGTTGCCTGTTCCTATGTCTAGATTGGTATTCCCTAGGTTGTCTTCCAAGGGTTTTATAGTTTTGGGTTTTACATTTAAGTCTTTAATCTACCTTAAGTTGATTTTTGTATATGGTGTAAGAAAGGGGTCCAGTTTTAATCTTCTGCATATGGCTAGCCAGTTAGCCCAGCATCATTTATTGAATAGGGAGAACTTTCCCCATTGCTTGTTTTTGCCAGCTTTGTTGAAAATCAGATACTTGTAGGTATGTGGTCTTATTTCTGATCTCTCTATTGTGTTCCATTGATCTATGTGTCTGTTTTTGTACCAGTACCATGCTGTTTTTGGTTACCACAGCCCTGTACCATGGTTTGAGGTCGGGTTGTGTGATACCTCCAGCTTTGTTCTTTTTTTTTTCAGGTTTGCCTTGGCTATTTGGGCTCTTTCCTGGTTCCATATGAATTTTAAAATAGTTTTTTCTAGTTCTATGAAGAATGTCATTGGTAGTTTAATAGGAATCACATTGAATCTACAAACTGCTTTGGGTAGCATAGTTATTTTAACTATATTAAGTCTTCCTATCCATGAACATGGAATGTTTTTCCACTTGTTTGTGTCATCTCTGATTTCTTTGAGCAGTGTTTTGTAGTTTTCTTGTAGAGATCTTTCACCTCCCTGGTTAGCTGTATTCCTAGGTACACTATTCTTTTTGTGCCAATTGTGAATGGGATTGTGTTCATGATTTGACTCTTGGCTTGACTGTTGTTGGTGTATAGGAATGCTATCAATTTTTGCACATTGATTTCGTATCCTGAAATTTTGCTGAAGTTATCAGCTTAAGGAGCTTTTGGGCCAAGACTATGGGGTTTTCTGGATATAGGATCATGTCATCTACAAACAGGGATAGTTTGACTATTGAGGGAACCTGCCCCCAATATTTCAACGTAGGTTCTTTCTATTTTCCATAAGTGTCAGCCAACTGAGAAATAAGGAGAGACAGTAGTACAAAGAGAGAGGAATTTTACAGCTGGGCCATCTCATATCAGTAGAACCATGATGCCCACCTGAGCCTCAAACCAGCAAGTTTTTATTAAGGGTTTTAAAAAGGGGAGGGGGCATAAGAACAGGGAGTAGGTACAAAGATCACATGCTTCAAAGGGCAAAAAGCAGAACTACTAATAAGGGTCTAACAAAGATCACATGCTTCTGAGGGAACAGGACAAATTGCAAAAGCAGAACTACTGATAAGGGTTTATGTTCAGCAGTGCACATATTGTCTTGATAAACATCTTAAACAACAGGAAACAGGGTTTGAGAGAACCATTTTGATTGTTTTGTAATCAATTTGTACAGTTGACACAATTATCACAGTGGTCCTGAGGTGAAGTACATCCTCAGCTTACGAAGATAACAGGATTAAGAGATTAAAGAAAAGATAGGCATAAGAAATAATAAAAGTATTATTTGGGAACTGATAAATGTCCATGAAATCACAATTTATGTTCCTCTGCTGCAGCTCCAGCCAGTCCCTCCATTTGGGGTCCTTGACTTCCCGCAACATTTGACTTTCTCTCTTCTTATTGGAATGCACTTTATTTCTCTCTCTTGACTGATTGCTATGGTCAGAACTTCCAATAATATGTTGAATAAGAGTGGTGAGTGTCTTGTGCTGGTTTTCAGGGGGAATGCGTCTAGCTTTTGCCCATTCAGTATGATGTTGGCTGTGGGTTTGTCATAGATGGCTCTTATTATTTTATGGTATGTCCTTCAATACCTAGTTTATTGAGAATTTTTAACATGAAAGGGTATTGAATTTTATCAAAAGCCTTTCTGCATCTGTTGAGATAATCATGTGGTTTTGTCTTTAGTTCTGTTTATGTGATGAATCCCCTTATTGATTTGGATATGTTGAACCAACCTTGCATTGCAGGGATCAAGCCTACTTAATTGTGGTGCATAAGCTTTTTGGTGTGCTGCTGGATTCAGCTTGCCAGTATTTTGTTGAGGATTTTTACATTAATGTTCATCAGGGATATTGATCGGAAGTTTTCTTTTTTTGTTGTATCTCTGCATGTTTTGGTATCAGGATGATGCTGGTCTCCTAGAATGAGTTACAGAGGAATCCCTCCTCCTCAAATTTTTAGATAGTTTCAGTGTGAATGGTACCCACTCTTCTTTGTACATCTGGTAGAATTCAGCTGTGAATCTGTCTGGTCCTGGCCTTTTCTCTGATGTTAGGCTATTTGTACTGATTCAATAAAAAGCTTAAGCTTTTAAGAAAACATTCGTTGCACATAGGGAAAGGATGAATCATTTGATAGACTGAAGGACAAATGGCAAATAAAATATACCTTAGTACCATAAACCCTTTCAGTCACCATGAACTTAGGAGTAAGTTGACTTAAGAGTAGTTTTTTGGGACCAAAACTGTTGGTAAATAGATAAGTTTCTGTATGAGAAGTCGTAAGTACACAGGATTCACAAAAATAGCAATTAGAAGATAAAGCTAGAAAGGAAAGCTGAGGGAAGATGGCAAAGGGTTCAATGTCAAACTAAAGAGTTCATACTCAGTCTGTGGGTAATGAGGGAGTCACTGTTTTTGAAGAAGAGAGTAATGTGATTAGAAGTCAAAGTTTTAGACTTTTTTGTGGCATTGAAGGATTTCAAAGATCAGACATTCAAAACAAGAAGACCAGTTTGCAGGCACTAAATGGCCCAAGTGAGATATGATGAGGGCCTACCCTAGGGTCCTGAAATTATAAAAGTATGTTTATAATGAACCCAACATCCACTTAGTTTATAAAATAAACAAAGCTTAAAAGAAGTAGTAACAAAACAAAGAAAATTAAATCAATGAAAAGAAAGGAATTTTTTTTTTTAAAAGATAAGGTATATGACACCCAAGACAGGTGGTAGAAAAAAGGATGAGTCAGCTTACCTTTTGATTTCTCCCGAAGTGGTGCCACACTGCATGTCTCCTTAGTCTTCTTTAGCCTGAATATTATACATTATCATAAAATTACTTACATATAAATTCAGGGTACAGTAAAATGCACTTGTTGAATAACATCACATGGACATTAAATAAATGTTAAGGAAAGGAAAGTTTTTCCATTATAACTAATTCCATCAGAAGCAGATATGAGCCAACCCAACATCTTGCTAGCAAATTTTACCAGTGGCTGAGTGCTAGGTCTAACTTCTCCCAGAGACCTTTATCATACCTCTGACTAGTCATGACTCAAGCAATGCTAAGTGGGAGGGAATCAAGATAAACAGGCCATTTGGATATGTTGAATACCAACTATCACTTTTTTGTACTTTTTACCTATCAATCACCTCTATCTGAATTTTGTCGTAATTCTGTTCCCACTGAAATACATCTAGATAATAAGATTATTAGGGAAAATATATCATGATTGAATCTGCTGTGGGTGAAATAATTCATTATAAAAATCTCAAATTTCTTGTAACAATATTCTTTTTGAGATGAGGTCTCACTGTCTCCCAGGCTGGAGTGGCACAATCATATAATTTACTGTAACTCTGAACTCTTAGGCTCAAGCAATTTTCCTGCCTCAGCTTCTTGAGTAGCTGGGATGGTAGGTGCATGTCACCACACAAGCTAATTTAAAAAAAAAAGTTTGTAAGGACGGGGTCTCACTATGTTGCCAAAGCTGGTCTCAAACTGCCGGCCTCAAGCAATCCTCCAGCCTCAGCCTCCCAAAGTGCTGGGTTTCCAAGCGTGAGCCACCGCGCCCAGCCTCTTGAAACTATTTTACACTCTAAAAGTCAGCAGCCACTTTTAAGTACTCCACCTCTAGGATTACTATTGTTATTTGTATTACTAGAGCGTGCTTTGAGAATCACTAAAAAATTTTGCTTACCAATAAGGAAATTTGAAAAACTATTACACTTTCAATCAAATATTCACACAAGGAGGGGAAAAAAGAGAGTAAGGGGTTGTACATAAAATGAACAAAAATGAGTATTTCTCTGCTTTGCCAAAACTGCTCCTTCACAGGGCGCTGTGCAATGTGCACAGGAGAATAAAACACTTGCAGGCAATTTGACATGTTCTCACTACAACAGCTAAAATGAAGACACTTGAGTTAAAGGCAGGGAAAAGAACTAACGTTTATGTTTGCCAAGCACTTCATATACATTATGTCACTTAGCCATTACTATTCCACTTTATATATGAAGAACACTTGTCATTACATGAATAAAATATATTCAATTATCTTTCATTGACTTAAGTAAATTCACACTCAAATCAATGTAAAACGTTTAGAAATAATTTCACAGTCAAATCACAAATGAAAAACAGAAACAAACAAACAAAAACCTGAAATAGGGTGGAAACAATAAGAAGCAAAACAAAGACTCCAAATTAAGAGTCAGAAAGGGCTAATTCATGGGTGTTTTCCAGGCTTCCAGTATCTTTAAGATGATCATGTGTATCGAAGGAAGGGTAACAAGACGGGTTCATACTGATACAAAGACCATTGGCACAGGCAGCCCTACACACTCCTGTCCCCTCCCCAAAGGGCGCTGTGACCCTTGATAAAAATGACATAAGTTGAGAGTCAGGGACACAAGTGTCTTGGTTACAATGTAACTGACTGCCCGTAGTAGCTTTATAGTCATGTTTCAAATAGTCCCTCCTCTTTCTGCATCCCCTCCATTTTCCACTTTGACTTAAGTTACCATCTAGTAGCGACTCTCTCTCTCTTCATTTCTAATCCTACCTTATTTTATTCTAACCTTACTTCAGAAAGAACAATTCTGCGTTTTATATTTTTATAGCTTGAAATCTTTCTTCAGATAATATTAAAAATGATGAGAAAAGCTATATGTATGATATTGTTTATTGTGGTGTTACTTACAAAACCAAAAAATCAGAGCATTTAAAAAATCCAACAATAGGAAGTGATTAAGTAAACTGTGGATCCGTCAGTGAAATATAATGTGGTTGGTAAGACTGTTTAAAGAACATATAGTGGCATGATGAAATGCATATACATAACATTTTTAAAAAGGCAGGATAAAAATTTTAAGTACACTAAAATCACCACGAAAATGAAATCCATGAAAAAGAATTTTTTCTTTCTTTTGAAAGAAGGGAATATCCAACAATAAAAATGGATGTTATGATGGATAGATTATCAAATAATTATTTTCCTTTTTTTCTGCAAAGTTCTTATTCTTATTTTCATAGTTTAAATAAAAAGTATCAACTTTTCATTTTAACCTGTTCCAGCTCTCTATCTATATTACCAGAATTTATTTCAAGAGTACTTAAAAAGAACAATAGTATTAGCTGGAAAACGCAATAAACATATTTTGAAACTTCAATCTTGTGTGCTAGGCATGACTGGATGACTTTAAAGTTCATTATAATAGGAAGATAATATAAAAATGTAAATCCTTCCCTAAAGACAGTTGCAACTTAGAATGCTATAAGTGCTTCACCTTCTTAAATACTACCAGAGTGAATAAGAACTAGACATTCGTCCGGGCGCGGTGGCTCACGCCTGTAATCCCAGCATTTTGGGAGGCTGAGGCGGGAGGATCACGAGGTCAGGAGATCGAGACCACCTTGGCTAACATGGTGAAACCCCGTCTCTACTAAAAAAAATACAAAAAATTAGCCGGGCGTGGTGGCGGGTGCCTGTAGTCCCAGCTACTTGGGAGGCTGAGGCGGGAGAATTGCTTGAACCCGGGAGGCGGAGCTTGCAGTGAGCCAAGATCCCACCACTGCACTCCAGCCTGGGCGACAGAGCGAGACTCCGTCTCGAAGAAAAAAAAAACATAACTAGACATTCAACAAATATCTGAAGAACAAATAAATGAACCAAAGCAGAAGCTGAGTGGAATGTGAGACTATCTTACTAACTTAGAGATCCCTTTGGAGAGTTTTAATGGTATGTCAGTCAGTCTGATTTCTAGCAGGAAAAGTATTTGTAATAATGTTTTCAAATGTCAGTGTTCAAAGTCAGGGAGACTTTTCTGGCTGAAAAATTCCTTTCTGATAGTCAATGCAGGATGTTAATTAGGCCAATATCTCATTCAGAATCTTCCTTCACATTACTTCAGTCAGACCAGAAATGAAGTACAAGGTTCTATATACAGGGTACAGAAACTTTTTAATATTGCAGAGAGCTAATTTTTTTTTTTCCCTAATACTAAAAATTCCAGTGTTCTCATGGGGATGATTTAGGCTAGGGCAATCAAGGTTTTTTAAAATGCCCTTAAATCGGGGCTGGGTGCCGTGGCTCACGCCTGTAATCCCAGCACTTTGGGAAGCCAAGGCGGGTGGATCACGAGGTCAAGAGATAGATACCATCCTGGCCAACTTGGTGATACCCCATCTCTACTAAAAATACAAAACTTAGCCGGGATTGGCGGCGGGCGCCTGTAATCCCAGCTACTCAGCAGGCTGAGGCAGGAGAACACTGGAATCTGGGAGGCGGAGGTTGCAGTGAGCCGAGATCACACCACTGCACTCCAGCCTGGCTAGAGAGCCAGACTCTGTCCAAAAAGAAAAAGAAAAGAAAAAAGAAGTCTTAAATCTTTTCTGGTAACAACACCCGAAAACAGAAAAGCGCCGAGTTGTCAAACTGAATAAAATGGCTTCGATTTTAAAAATTAAATCCTTTATGTAAAAAAAAAAAAAAAAAACCCGGCAAAAATGAATTCAATTCACTGGCCAGAAAAACCTCTACATTCAGCAGTATTACTACAAATACACATTCAACAAATGATAATTAAATAGCAATGATCTACCTGATTGCAGACACCTCGGCATCAGCACGTGGCAGTCTTTTTGGAACCTCTAGCGGAGTTGAACTTATACTTCTTTGGTTACTTTGTAGTCCTGGTAAATATGGCATTTTGATATATTCTTTGAGCTCTCCTAGACCAAATGCTGTGGTATATTCTGGTTAAAAATATATAAGAATCATCTTGATTAAATGGATACTACTTGTTTTACTACATACTAAAATACATAATAAAATACATAAAATCAGTTATTAAGTAAAGAAAATTAAGTAACTGTAATTTATCTAGCTTCTTTCCCAGGAGAATGGCTTTCATTCTACATCCTGACTATAGGGACTGCAGGAAGGAGTCGATTAAGAGGCTAAGAGTGGAATAAGGAAAAAGAACAGCTTCACAGATCTTCCACAGTGGTCATTATCCTCTGCCTTCATTATTTTATTTAGTTAGAATGCCCAGAATATTAGATACCTTCACACTGAAATAAAAGGCACTATCAAGAGTCTGATATTATCTAGCACTTAGAGTCTTTCCATTTTCCTGCTTTTATGTAAATAAGAGGTGTAAACACATGATCATCTGAGCTAGCAATGAGAGTCAAAGAATTCTACTTGAGGCACTGATTTTAATTTTATGTCCACAAAATTCCAGACCAATCTGTAAACCATAACATTGAAGCACCAAGATTGTTTCTTCTACTAGCCTCACATATCCATTGCATAGAGAGATGGTCAAATTATTTTTTTAAATTTTCAAGGCATCAAATGAAAAGAAAAAGGAGATTAAGAGGTTAAAGGTTTGGGTGTTCTTTGAAGTAAACATAGTGAATTTTTTTTTAAAGTATTCTCTACAAAGCAAATGTAGTACAGCAACAAAAATGGTATTCAATGGGACTAAAATTATTATATTGAATGTTCAAAATGTTATTTTGTAACTTTTGATTTTTTCCTCTTTTGGAAAAAATAGTTTCTCTTGGTCAAAAAGCATACAGACTCTCTTTTCGTCTATTAGATTTGGGGAGTAGAAGGGTGGATAAACTGTTGTCTGAGTACCTTTAATGGGAACCTGGTAAGAAAGTTGAAGAAAATATATAGCAACACATTCAAAGCCAAAGAGGGACAAATCATTGAGTAGTTTGCATTTTACTATTTTCAAGAATTACTGGCTGGGCGTGGTGGCCTATAATCCCCATACGCCTATAATCCCAGCACTTTGGGAGGCCAAGGTGGGTGGAGCACAAGGTCAGGAGATCAAGACCACCCTGGCCAACATGGTGAAAACCCTTCTCTACTAAAAATACAAAAATGTGCTGGGCATGGCAGCACGTGCCTGTAATCCCTGCTGCTCAGGAGGCTGAGGCAGGAGAATCACCTGAACCGGGGAGGCAGAGGCTGCAGTGAGCCAAGATTGCACCACTGCACTCTAGCCTGGTGACAACGCTAGACTCCATCTCAAGAAAAAAAAAAAAAAGAATTATTTCTCCATTAATAAAGGTGGAAGCAAATTCAGAATAAACAAGAAAATATGATTAACTTGAAAGTAAGGAGGAATAACTATTAATATATTCATCTACATGTCAAAAGTTCTCAAACTAGTCTTCATTGAGCAACTATAAGATTTAAGATACTCTCCACATAACTCACTCAAAAATACAGTTTTGGTTAGAATTTTTTTTTTTTTTTTTGAGACAGGGTATCACTTTGTTGCCCAGACTGAAGTATAGTGGCATGATCATGGCTCACTGCAGCCTCACCCTCCGCAGGCTCAGGTGATCCTCCTACCCTCAGCCTCTGAGTAGCTGGGACCACAGGCGCACACCAACATGCTCAGCTAATTTTTGGGTTTTTTGAAGAGATGGGGTATCACCATATTGCCCAGGCTGTCCTCTAACTCCTGGGCTCAAGCGATCCACCTGCCTTGGCCTCCCAGAGTGCTAGATTACAGGCTAAGCCACTGCGCCTGGCTTTGGTTAGAATTACTAATATATAAAAGCATTGTTAAAGATTTGGATGTCTTAAAATATAAAAATCACCTTGAGTTATTTTAAGGAAAATGCCATTTATAAAATGGAGTGCGATTCAACAGAGACAGTACTGCAATGGATATTAAGAAATGCAGTTCTTTCAGACAAATTTGAGTTTAAAAAGAAGAAATGCAGCTCTTTACAATTTGTTTCCATCATGAATCACAGAATTACATTAATTAAATCAATTTTAGTTTGCTTCCATTTTTCTTTTTCATCAACTTAAGATATAATTCTTATATAAATGTGACAGAAAATGTCTCTTGCCTGATGAAAAAAATACATGTAAATTCAAGGCACTATTTCTATTTTCTTAAAGAAAATAGTAACAATAAAGTTACCTTTCTCAATCTTTTGTGTTTCTAAAACTGCTTTCTTCCAACTACTCTCAAAAATGAAACAACTGCCAAAGGAACTTCTGGTGACTTTAGAAGTCTCACATTTGATTTCAGGAGATGGCACTGACATGCTGTCTTCTTTCAACAGTGCTGACGAGAGGGAGATGCTGCTGCAGAGACAGGACACAAAATACAAAGAAAACAAGGCACGTCCGAGGCAAGGCAAACAAATGTGTCAGAAAGTTTCTCTTTCAAACTGTGAACATTTTAATGAATTCTTTCAAATTCCAGGTTACAGATATTGGGTAATATTTTAAAAAGTAAAGTCCAATAGCAAGTTATCACCTACAAGAAAACAGAATACTTGGATTCTCTCAAAAACATTATCATTATAAAATGCATTTGTGCCCGGAAAAAAAGAAAAAAAAAAGACAAATTTAATGCTCCATGGAAAATAAACATGTTCTCTAGATAATCATCACCTTTATTCTAAACATGGACACAGAAGGAAAATCATGTACCCTGCTTACTTAATATATTAAACACACATTCAATTCAGTCGTATACATTACCTATCACAAGCAAGGCATGACTACATCCAAAGAGTACAACCATGAGCAACTCTGAGGAGTCCCATGGGAATGATGAGGAGTGACACCACCAGGACAGCTACTATTTATGAAATGCCTATTTTTCCAGGATCCTTGCTGGGCATTTTGCATCCATTTTTTCCAGTGATCACAACAAAGAATTAGAGATAGCCAGAGTCAGCTATGCTTATTCATTCATGCAAAATAAATTATTTACTGAGTGCTGATTTTATGCCAAGAATTACACGAAACCTTAGAGAAATATGCTAATCAAAACAGTCCCTGCCCTTGAGGAGCTTGGAATCTAGTAAAAGAAACACAGATAAGAAAATGGATAATACGGTTTTAGTAAGTGCTATGATGGGGGGCAAAAAATAAGGGTGCCATGGGAGCACACAGGAGGGATTCCCACCCCAGTCTTGGGCATTAGGGAAGCCTTTCTGGAGGAAGCCAACAAAGCAAGGATGTGGGAGAGCAGGAGGAAGAGATGGCTTCCAGCAGAGGAAGAGCATTGTGATGGTTAATATTGAGTCTCAACTTGATTGGATTGAAGGATGCAAAGTATTTTTCTTGGGTGTGTCTGTGAGGGTGTTGTCAAAGGAGATAAACATTTAAGACAGTAGACTGGGAGATGCAGATCCTCCCTTAATCTGGGTAGGCACCATCTAATCAGTTGCCAGCATAGTTAGAATAAAGCAGGCAGAACTTGGAAGGACTTGACCTGTTGAGTCTTCCGGCCTTCATCTTTCTCCCATGTTGGATGCTTCCTGCCCTCGAACATTAGACTCCAAGTTCTTCAGATTTTGGACTCTTTGACTTACACCCAGTGATTTGTCAGGGGTTCTCGGTACTGTCAGTTTCCCTACTTTTTGTCAGGCCTCTGAGCCCAAGCTAAGCCATCATATCCCCTGTGACCTACACTTATACATCCAGATGGCCAACTGAAGATCCATAAAAGAAGTGAAAATAGCCTTAGCTGATGATATTCCACCATTGTGATTCGTTTCTTCCCCACCCTAACTGATCGATGTACTTTATAATCTCCCCCACCCTTAAGAAGGTTCTTTGTAATTCTCCCCACCCTTGAAAATGTACTTTGTGAGGTCCACCCGCTACCTGCAAAACATTGCTCCTAACTCCACTGCCTATCCCAAAACCTATAAGAACTAATGATAATCCCACCACCCTTTGCTGACTCTCTTTTCGGACTAAGCCTACTTACACCCAGGTGAAATAAACAGCCTTGTTACTCACACAAAGCCTGTTTGGTGGTCTCTTCACATGGACGCGTGTGACATTTGGTGCCGAAGACTTGGGTCAGAGGGACTCCTTCGGGAGACCAGCCCCCTGTCCTCACCCTCACTCTGTGAAGAGATCCACCTATGACTTCGGGTCCTCAGACCAACCAGCCCAAGGAACATCTCACCAATTTCAAATCGAGTAAGCGGTCTTTTCACTCTCTTCTCCAGCCTCTCTCGCTACCCTTCTTCTCCCTGTCCTTCCAATTCCCATTCTTTTTCCTCTCTAGTAGAGACAAAGAAGACACATTTTATCCGTGGACCCAAAACTCCGGCGCCGGTCACGGACTCGGGAAGACAGCCTTCCCTTGGTGTTTAATCATTGCGGGGATGCGGGGACGCCTGCCTGATTATTCACCCACACTTCATTGGTGTCTGATCTCCGGGGGGACGCCTGCCTTGGTCATTCACCCACATTCCCTTGGTAGCAAGTCAATTGTGGGGACTCCTGCTTTGGTTCCTCACCCACATTGCAGCTCAGGGCTGCGCCCCACCCACCTTCTTCGTGTCTCTACCCTTCTGTTTAAACTTGCCTCCTTCACTATGGGCAACCTTCCACCCTTCATTCTCCTCCTTCTACCTTAGCCTGTGTTCTCAAGAACTTAAAACCTCTTCAACTCTCACCTGACCTAAAATCTAAGCATCTTATTTTCTTCTGCAACACCGCTTGGCCCCAATACAAACATGACAATGGTTCTAAATGGCCAGAAAACAACACTTTTGATTTCTCCATCCTACAAGACCTAGACAATTTTTGTCGAAAAGTGGGCAGATGGTCTGAGGTGCCTTACGTCCAGACATTTTTCACACTTCGTTCCCTCCCTAGTCTCTGTTTCCAATGCAACTCGTCCCAAATCCTCCTTCTTTCCCTCCCGCCTGTCCCATCAGTCCCAACCCCAAGTGTTGCTGAGTCTTGTGAATCTTCCTTTTCTACTGAACCATCTGACCTCTCACCTCCTCCCCAGACTGCTCCTCCTCAGGTCACTCCCCGCTACGCTGAATCAGGCTCCAACTCATCTTTAGCCTCTGCTCCCCCACCCTATAACCCTTCTATTACCTCCCCTCCTCACACCCCGTCCAGTTTACAGTTTTGTCCTGCGTCTAGCTCTCCCCAACCTGCCCAACAATTTCCTCTTAGAGAGGTGGCTGGAGCTGAAGGTATAGTCAGGGTTCATGTGTCTTTTTCTCTATCAGACCTTTCCCAAATCAGCCAGCATTTAGGCTCTTTCTCATCAGACCCCACTAAATATATACAGGAATTCCGATATCTAATTCTGTCCTACAATTTAACCTGGAGTGATTTAAATGTCATCCTAACTGCTACCCTCTCCCCAGATGAACAGGAAAGAGTTTTTTCTCTAGCCCAATCTCACACTGATAACCGCCGGTTTCATGAGCCAGACCTCCAGGAAGGCATTAGAGCAGCTCCTGAGAAGATCCCCAATGGAACTATCAGGCAGATTCCCCAGGTATAGTTAGGCAAGATTACATGGCTTCCTGCCTAGTTGAAGGGCTTAAAAAGGCAGCTTACAAAGTTGTTAATTATGACAAACTTAAAGAAACTACCCAAGGTAAAGACGAAAACCCAGCCCAGTTCATGGCCCGCTTAGCAGCAACCCTTAGACGCTTTACTGCCCTAGACCCAGAGGTGCCAGAAGGCTGCCTTATTCTTAATATGCATTTTATCACCCAGTCAGCTCCTGACATTAGAAAAAAGCTTCAAAAATTGGAATCCGGCCCTCACACCCCACAACAGGAATTAATCAACCTCGCCTTCAAGGTGCACAATAATAGAGAGGAGGTTGCCAGACAGCAACATATTTCTGAATTACAGCTACTTGCTTCTGCTGTAAGACAACCCACAACCATGTCTCCAGCATACAAAAACTTCAGAACATCCAAGCCACAGCTCCCAGGGGCTCCTTCAAAACATCCTCATGGACCTTTCTTCAAATGCCAAAAGCCTGGCCACTGGGTCTCAGGATGCCCACAGCCCAGGATTCCTCCTAAGCCATGCCCTGTCTGTGTGGGCCTCCACTGGAGGTCGGACTCTCCGATCCACATCGCCGCTGCTCCTAAAGCCCCTGGAGCTCAAACCCAACATTCCTTGGCAGACTGCTTTCCAGATCTCCTCAGCTTAGCAGCTGAAGACTGATGCTGCCTGCTCGTCTCGGAAGCCCCCGGACCATCACTGATGCCAAGCTTCAGATAACTCTTACAGTGGAGGGTAAGTCCATCCCTATTTAATCGACATGGGGGTACCCACTCCACATTACCTTCTTTTCAAGGGCCTGTTTCCCTTGCCCCCATAACTATTGTGGGTATGGATGGCCAAGCTTCAAAACCCCTTAAAACTCCACCACTCTGGTGCCAACTTGGACATTATTTTATGCACTCCTTTTTAGTTATCCCCACCTGCCCAGTTCCCTTATTAGGCTGAGACATTTTAACCAAATTATCTGCTTCCCTGATTATTCCTGGATGACAGCCACATCTCATTACCACCCTTCTTCCCAACCCCAAGCCTCCTTCACGTCTTCCTCTCGTATCCCCCCACCTTAACCCACAAGTATGGGACACCTCCACTGCCTCCCTGGCAATGGATCACACGCTCATTACTATCCCATTAAAACCTAATCACCCTTACCCCGCTCAATGCCAGTATTCCATCCCACAACAGACTTTAAGGGGATTAAAGCCTGTTATCACTCACCTGCTACAGCATGGGCTTCTAAAACCTATAAACTCTCCTTACAATTCTCCCATTTTACCTGTTCAAAAACCGGACAAGTCTTACAGGTTAGTTCAGGATCTGCACTTTATCAACCAAATTGTTTTGTCTATCCACCCTGTGGTGCCCAACCCATAAACTCTTTTGTCCTCAATACCTTCCTCTACAACTCACTATTCCGTTCTTGATCTTAAAGATGCTTTTTTTCACTATTCCCCTACAACCCTCATCCCAGCCTCTCTTTGCTTTTACCTGGACTGACCCTGATACCCATCAGTCCCAGCAGCTGACCTGGGCTATGCTGCCTCAAGGCTTCAGGGACAGCCCTCATTACTTCAGCCAAGCTCTTTCTCATGATTTACTTTCTTTCTACCCCTCCACTTCTCACCTTATTCAATATATTGATGACTTTCTACTTTGTAGCCCCTCCTTTGAATCTTCTCAACAAGACACTCTCCTGCTCCTTCAACGTTTATTCTCCAAGCGATATCGGGTATGCCCCTCCAAAGCTCAAATTTCTTCTCCATCTGTTACCTCCTTGGCATAATTCT